TGAAAGCAAAATGGAGGTTCTGTATACATACAATCTGTTTGCGTGTGCCCTTGTATGTCTGTTTGGGTGATTGCAAATATGTGGGCATATATGTATGCATTGTTGTATGTATGCATGTGCGCACGTACAAAACACACACATTCATGTATATATATATATATGCACATATACAGACACATAGACAGATAGATGTTGTTTGTGGCTAGCCTGGTCTAGTTCAGTGCTGCTGCATTTATGTAGTTAAAACAATTTTTAGTTTCACTCTACTACAAGTAGCCATAGATGGGTCGACTGAAGGTTTCTTGTGCTGTCCAGGGGTCGCAGCCGCAGCCGGCACCGGCACCGGGGCCTGGCCTGTCATCTGACGGCAGAGTCTGGCTCTGGCTCTGGGGCTTCGCGTAAGGTTCAGGGCCGGCATCACGAGCTTAACGGGTGGGCAATCGGTGGTCAAGGTGTTTTGAACAGCCGGTTCCATTGCAAGTTTAGTGCTGCAGCCCCGAACCATCTAATGCCGGGCCACCCGACTTTTCGCTCATTGCCTTCCTGAACGAGCCTTCCCATGCACTGGGGATCCAAACGTGGTTGGAGGGCTGATGCTACCAAAACAGACCCTGTGGACATTGATTAGTCCGCGCAACGAAAGTCGCCGATGCTCCTCGCGCTTCAGTGAGATTCCGGATGGCATGTAGACAAGACCGAAGTAAGGAAGCTACCCGACTGTGCGAACTCGAAACTCCAAGGACCAAGGACGCATGGCAGCAAGCTCATCTGCTTAGTTGCGGAAACAGACTGAACTCCCGTCTCATCAGGCTCCTTGTATGGGATAACTCCGGCTCAGCACTCGGCCCTGAACCAGAAAACTATAGCAATCCAACTGCAGCTGATCGCCCTTTCGATTGACCCTTTGATAGTTTCATGAATGTCACACCACAAAGACCCTGTTGCAGCGGTGCGAATCAACCCCATCGCCATCGGAATCCCGCCTGGCGCGGATTGCCCGCGCTGGGCCCGAAGCCGACGTCGCTTGGCGCAGCGCTCCTCGCTGACGCAAAACATAGTATGTGTATATATATATATATATCTATATTTATTTCTGCATTTATTTATTTATGGTTTTTTATGACAGACAACATTCCGGGGGTCTCAGAGATTGGACTGGGAATGCCCTTTCAGGTACCGCTTCAACGCTTCCTGTCGTTGCTTAGCCTAGCCTGAGGACGTTGCCCAACCCTGCACCCTCAACCCACCACCTAACAGACAAGGGCTACCTGAGACTTTAATCCCCAACTCCCATAATACCTGCAGACCCAAGTGCAGAAACCATAGTCCAGTTTGAGATTACATCACAATGACACTAGACGCAGAAATCAAGAATCCTCCCGGCAATATCCCAAAACAAGAAGTGTACGTAATAAGTCTGGCAGCAACAATGGGTGTGTGACCAGGTGGCTAGAACTGACCATGAAGGCACGCATCGCGATCGCGGAGACGGGTCTTTATGATTGGCACAATAGCAGCAATGCTAGGAATTACACTCGTCGCAACTCCCCCTAGGAATGCGTAACGTACATGTTTTCAACCGGAACACGCTAAGCGAATCCGCCGGCCAATTAATATAGGGGCCTTAAATAATTAGAATAATTAATTAGCGTTTTGGGGGTTATTATGCTATAGTCATAATAAGGCACCCCCAACATAGTATCGGTTAATATTAAGGCCCCGATATTGCTGACGCAGGCAAAGGATGGATCATCCTTGATGGCTTCGCGCACCTGTCACGGGAAGTTGGAGAGTATAGGGGCCTTAATAATTAGAGTAGGGGTTTTGGGGCTCCTTTTTATGAGTCTAGAGATATATACCCCAAACCCTATAGGCCCTCTTCTAGTTATTCATGCCCCTATATTACAGTTTGGGGGGGGCGGAAGTGAGTCTGCGTAGTCGGGGAGTTGGGGCTTGGTGTTTACCCTACACTACTCTGCGACTCTGCGAAGAACTTGTGCACAAGGCTTTGACTTGGGAATCTTCGGATCTTCGGGCCTTTAGCCCTTTAGCCCTTTTGGCATGCATTTCGGCCCGAGCATAGAAGAAGAAAGGACATCCGGCATGGTGCCCAAATAAAGACTGCGAACACGCTCATCGCAATCATCATCTTCCTCATCGTCATCAGCATTGTCATCATCCACCATCGGTCATGGAAGTAACCCAAATAAAGAATGCGACACGCTCATCACAATCATCACCTTCTTCATCGTCATCAGCATTGTCATCATCTTCATCATCAGTCATGGTAGTAACCCAAGCCACACAAATCTTTCATGCCTGCATAGGCGCGCTCCGAAACCCAAACCCCCAACCTCCATCTGCATGGCATGATCAGGAAGCTCCAGAATCCCCCCCACATCATGCTAAAGATCCCTCAAGTTGCGATATCCCCCGGGGCACACGACAACTCAGGAAGGGTTCGAGGACACACGGCTTAGCTCTGCAGCTGGACCCTGACCTGTAAGTCAAGCGACAAGACCATCCATGGAGAGTCTTGATTCAATCAAGACTTGTGGCTCCGGGTGCAAGCAAGAAGGAGAGGCTGGCCCTATTCTTTTTGCTCACCTATAGGAAGGTGCCTCCAGTTCATTGAGGACGCTGGGCAAAGCCTGGCTGCCATCAGAGCTTCGCAGAACTGGGAGCTCCATGCACCTGTGCTGCTCTTCAGCTACTCCTACTTCCCATCCCCAGTGTGCCAACTACGTCTGTCTCAACTATTTTTTTGTTCATAGGTAGTGGGCCCACATGGAGGATCCCTCAAAAGTGTATCGAAACCCAACAAAGCCGCCGAGACTGTATCCGGCGTGCTGATTGGGGGGGGTTGAAGTCAGAGCTGAGGAGGGCGGTTCTGGGCCGGTGGATGATAGGTCTCGCGCGGAGATACTTGGGGCTCAGACGTGAGGATTAACGCTCCAAAGCCAAGGACTTCTCGTTGTTCAGCCGGAACCTCGATGTATGGCAGACAGCGTACACCTGAGGATGCGGTTGAAATAGAATCCGGCACCCTCTTAGCAAGCATGTGGATGTACAGACCGTGTCGAATACCAGGAAGGGCCTCAGTGAGGCCTTACAATGATTAGGATAGGAGTTTGGGGTATATCATAGTATGATTTGCTCAAGGAGCAAAGAGCCCAAAACCTAGTAACTAGCTCTGAAATCAGATTTACGTCTTAAGTGCTTTAAGGTTTCTGGTTTAGGGCTTTGGGGTTGCGGGTCCAGGCACCGACTGTCGTCATCCTGATAGGACTTGGGCTGCTCGAAGTACTCCTGCTCAGCGCAACAGCAGTTAAGAAGGCACCTTCATAATCAGAATAGGGTTTTGGGGTATAGATTGTACTACAATTATTATCTCAGCAACAGACCCCAACAGCGATGGAAAAACATACCGTTTGGTTCAATTTGGCGCTATGGTCTGTGTAAGAAAAACTTTCAGTCTACATCCTAACACCTAAACCCTGAACCCTAAACTCTAAACCCTGAACCCGGACGTTTTGCATCCGGGGGGGGGG